TGTGCAACCTGGCCCATTAGATCAGCAGACGTACAGAAGTTAACTACGTTCGACCACCGGTGCCTTCACCGTTTGGCTGTTATCTGGCGTGACCACCGCGTGAACACTGAGCGTGTCCGACGCCTTTTTTATTAAACAGGAAGAGGAGGTTCATCTCACAGCACCGATGGTTGGGCACGCGTTGTATAGGCTAGCACACTGATTCCCGCGACGCGTTGTTTGCGTGCCGGGGGTGTGGATGGAAGAAGAGGTGAGGTCAAGCGATAACTTGGTCAAGAGGAATGAAGTCCCTCACTTCGAAGTTTACATCGGTTGGTGCGATTAATAAGTTCGGTTGGATACACTACTTAACAAGGCGGTGCACACCCCACAACTTGAAGAAGCCTCATGAAAAAGCTAACGAAACACTTTGTCTCGGTCGGTTTATCACGACTCCCTGGTTAGGATTTCAGATATAATGTCACTGCTTGACCACCCTGAGTGTCATTGCTCAAAACTGATGTTAATTGTGGACATGTATCTCTGCGTGTATCTCTCTCTGCATGTATCTCTTCATAATAAAAACAATTAAAAACTCAAAAACTGAGAGAAAAGTAGACAGAAAAGTGCATGCTCTTTTTTTCATACCTGCCCTGTTTTCTTATCCCGTCATGATTTTGATAGCACGATATCTGTGCCGCGGATGGTGATTATATATATATATATATATATATATATATATATATATATATATATATATATATATATATATATATATATATATATATATATCACCTGCGCCTGGAGACGCAGCATAGATAACTAATGCAGATGTCGTTAGTAGTAGGTAAGTAATCAGCCGGCCGAAATTATTGCGCGCTTGGCTTGTAATCCAGAGGTCACGGGTTTGGTATTACGGTACAATAGTTGTGGTGTGTTTCATACCTTCAGCTAGTGTGTACTGATGATTATGTCGATGATAGTCTCCCGTTCGAATCGGCCTAACTGCAGGCGCCTTCGCGGTCTGCACAGCGCTCGTGAAACTCGTGGTGGTTGCTTGGTAGCGAAGCGTCGGTATGATATGCCACCATCAACATGCTTTTGGAACATTGATGATCAGCACTGCATTGCTTGAGCTGGAGCATTTGCGTCGCCCCAATTCTCAGCAGCACGTGAGTATTCTTCCTAATGATGCTGTCTTTTCCAACGCTCCTTGCGTCTGAGAAACCAGTAGAGTTGTTCCAGACCAGTCATCGCACTTCTCAGCTGTGACATGAAGCTATTCTACATTTGCATCTATACCTGAAGAAATGTGGTTCGTACGAACGGCACACGCTTCCTTAAATCTGCCACCACATTCACTGGTACCCGTCAACTTTGTCGTTATATGAGCTTTTCACACGTGCACGTCTTCCTCCTATGTGCATACTGCTTTTCGAATGCCAGTGCGTCTACTTTCTACTCGAATGTTCTGTGCGCTTACTCGTCTGGCACCCTGATTACCTCTATCAGATTTCCTCTCCTTCTTGCTGGTGACCTTCGGTCACTGCACTCTCTGTCATTCGAAAATGCCATACCTCTATTTCCTAGTTCCACAGTTCCCTTTTCAGTATGAGATCAGGCTCAGCTTTTTTGATCGCTTTGACTTCCTTATACATATGTTTGACTTTACTTGGAGTCCTCATTTTTCGTTATGCGCTCTCACTGTTTACCAACTGGTGAAGGGGGCATTTGTCTTCATCTTCTTGCTTTATCGTTCCTGTAGTAGCCATAATCACAATTGTGTCGGAAGCTCCCATCGCCAGTTCGACTCTTCGCACTCGAGGAACATTAACTCTAGTGTATAATACTGGCTTTTCCTCTGTTGTAGTTCTGCTGCTCACACAGTTCGTGCTCCTTACCACGGTCGTTCCTTAGGTCAGCTTTTGCGACCTCTCTTGAGTTATGCATGATTACTGGCTATCCTCGACATACGTTTATTTAAGGTTACTGAGTGGGGCGTTCGCTTTCACACCGGCACATCATCTCAGCTAGGCACCACCATGTTGGATCTGTCCATTCCTACTCTGTATCGTCAATTGCGCCTTCATGTTCTAAATCCTCTGCACCCTCAACGGGCATTTCTCCGACGAGCCTGACGCTTTTATTCCCAGTCCATCAACTCTACTCTATCTCTTTAGTCCACTCCAACTGTAACAAATCTCTTATTCCTATCTCGCTCTCCTCTTCTACCTTCCTCTAATCACTTATACTAATGCACAAACTAGCTGACTTTTGAAATTGCCATCTATCTTCCATGTTATTCAAGTGTGCTCAGATCGTATTGTCTTCTCAATGGTTTCCACAGTCATCTTTCGTAACTCGAGTTTCCCCCATGACTTGTCTAATCTTCGCTGAGTCTATGTTGACACCTGAGGTGCTGTAATCGACCATTTCGGTGGGGGGGTGGGGGAATTCAAATTCCATGGTGCTATTGACCGGAGCTGCACCTAAGTGAACTTCCGGAGTGGCAATCCGGTGTGTTGGTGGAGTAATGTGGCACAATTGAGCGGCTGACTTGGTTAGACTGGTGCAAGCCTTCATCCCCTAAAGGGACCTCTGGGTCGCCGCATCAGTAGTTGGTGTCCTTATGCGATACCTTGCAGTATCGGAGTCACTAGCGTGTCTTCGATTTCTATTACCCGGTTTTCCACTTTCTGTTTTTCTTTGTATGCTACTTTGAGTTTTACCACATTTTCTTGAACACCTCATTTATTGTTACTCTCATTATGACGCTTGATATGGCAGTTGGATCTGTTTTCAGGTCGTGGATTTTGGGCTGAATCGCATTGAACGGAAATGCGATTAATCAAACTGTCATAAGTATCTTCAATATGGTGTTTAAAATGAATTGTAATGAAATGTCATCGCGAAAAATTACCACTGTTTTCACGATCGGCTCTCATTTGGAGAGGCGGTATCCGCTGCCACAAATGTGTTGTCTTCAACTGCTCACCATTCGAGTTCATCAAGACGGGCAAACTGAAGTTTAGTATCCGGCGGACATCAACATTACTTACGCGGATGTCCAATTACTTGCTCGCGTTGCTCCATTTTCGCCGGTGTTAAAACACTTGGTCTCCCCAGCTCTGTATGATCTTACTTGTTGCAGTTCTTGCGAACTGGTGGTCTGTCAGCCAGTTAACAGCATTGCACTGTGATTTGAGAATACGGGACGCCGCATGTCTAAACAAGCTCTGCTTCGGTGACCCCACCGTTTACTTAATTGGGAAGGCTGGTGCCTCAGTTGCAGTCCTTATTGCATCCACTTTCTCTTTGCAACGCACTCGACACTTCAGTGTCCAATTAGTTCAGCACTTTATGGGGCCTATTCGGAACTGGATCATTCTGTGTGGTGAAAGCTTCCGTCGCTTCTGATGGCAGGAGTTCCACAATTATACCTTTGAAGTGCCAACAAGGTACTACCTGTTGTCTGCAATCTTCTTTCTCCGTTTTGAAAACCTAATCTCTGTACCATCAGTCATCGTATGAAAGTCTCCTTAGTCTACTTTTGTTGATTCCGCCTGATGCTGATATTGGTGACGCTGGTGAGGAGTACACCCACCAGTCCTCGCCGTTGTTCGCTACGATGTCTCGCCCCCTATCTTGGATTCATTGCACTTTGTGTAACGCGGGTAACTATAGTTTTGTTTTCGGCGCAAGATATTTTTACTTACTCCGAATAAATATTTCCGAGTTCCTCTGTGCGAGACAGGCGGTTTCTTTATTGTGTGGTTTTTATGCGGCCACATGTTTGGATACATCTTTGCTTGGGAGCAATCCGCCGGCAAGGAGCGTGCATCAGATGCTTAACAAACTTCACAATAAATTCCTAACCGTCGTAGCAGACGTTGCTCGCACCGTTCGTTGGTGGTTACGTCTACCGGTAGACTATACGTTCTGAGTTCCACCCCAGCTGTGCCTATCCCCTCAAGAAACTCCAGCCAGGGGCGAAACTTGGCTGGACTAGCAGCGTTGGAGGTGCAGCACACCCAGCCTTTACCTATTTCAAACGCCGTCTAAGCACTCGAATTGACAGAGCTTCAGTTCTAGGTATACCGCGGTGCAAATTAATGCCGCATACCACAACCCAAACACACGGTAGGTGCTCCACAACTCAACAATGAAGTTGGTTCATCACTGTTTACGTGAACCGATCCATATGAGACGCTCGAGGTTGGAAACCAGGCCACAGTTGCCTCTAAAATTTGCATGTATGTAACTGTGTCAACACTAATAAATTGAATGTGGCACCTCGAATGTACCTACCGCACATTTTACCGTTTATCTTGCATACTATCCTAACTACCTCTGTCAACCAGTGTCATTGTTTTTCTCGACCCAGAATGTTTATCGCAGAGTCGCAACGTCACTGTTTGCATTTCGTTACGCTGTCGCTTGGTCCTACCCCCTGTTGTTGTGTTTGAATGTCAGCCGCTGTCCTGTAGGATCCAGGTGTTTCAACCCAATTGTCGAATTATCTTCCAAATACCCACTAGAGTGCACATAACTCCTCCCTTTCATTCCATGACGTTTGACTAGTCCGCCTGAGTTTTGGCCAAATGCAAGCCACATGAACACCGATGTTTGGTTTACTGCCACGCATTGCTTGCGGGTTGATTTCATCGCGGATATTTAAAAGTAGCAATTCGACTACAGAGGAATTCACAGGTTCTCCTTTGTTTCTCGCGATGGTTACCTTGTTACAGCACTCAGGTTTTGTTGCACAATCGTATACCTTTGGTAATACTCACTTCTCTGCATCACCCGTTTCCATTACACCTTGTTCTATTGCTCTTATCCTCAATCCTTTACTGCATTTCACTTTTACACAGGCACTTTCCTCCTCCTAAAGTAAACCGGAATCACGCAGTATTCTCCAACTCAGCCGTCCACGTCACTTTCGATGATCCTTTGTCTGACGCGTCCAGTGATGTGCGAGATCCGAAGCACGACAACGATCCACAGTTAAAATCGCGCTTTCAGCCACGAGACCTGCTTTTCAATGTGACCTACACTCTTCAGGTAATTGTACATCAGTCTCCAGAGCACTGGCTACTCATAAATGACTACTTTCAAGTTGATATTATCGTTTTCCTTTTTTTGGTTAATACATGCAATGCAGAACACCAGATTCCCTTATCTCTCTGTATTCACTGTTTAGCTCCCACGATTGTTAGAACCGCGATCAGATGAATATTGGGTGTTGCCTACCCGAAGACACTGCACTTCATGACGCGTTTCGATGTTATTTCATCTCATCGCATATAGATAGCAAGCATCGAACCTGGGACCATTGGGATATTAGTTGTGACCGCTACCCCTAAGCCACCGGGTCACGACAGTTAATGACTGATTGGAGGGTCGTTTTGAAGTTTACTTTGTGTGAGTGGATTGCGACTTGCAATCCCAGTGTAGACTGCGACTTCCATTGAAGTGAACCTTGGTCAATTCGATCACTTGGATCGCAGCTGAAGCAGATGCATGTTGGGTGTTGCCTGCCCGAAAGCACTGCACTCCATGACGCGTTTCGATCTCATCAGCTAGGGATGGCAGGCATCGAACCCGAGACCATTGGGATGTTAGTTGTGACCGCTGCCCCTAAGCCACTGGGTCACGACGGGCAGCGCTTGGCACAACGGTTAATAACTCCTTGGTGGTCCATTTTTTGTGATACAGATTGTGTGGATGAATTGCGACACAGTCTCAATGTTGACCGCGATTCCCATTGAAGTAAACCTTGGTCATTCCATCAGTAGGACTGTAGCTGAAGCAGATGAATGTTGGGTGTTGTCCGCTCGAAAACACTGAACTCCACCGCCTGTTTAAAAATTATCTGATCTCATCACCTAGTTATAGCAGGGACTCAAACTCTCGGGGTCTTTGGGTTATGAGCCGGATCCTTAACCTCTAAGCCATGGTGTCACGGCTGACAACCTTTGTCACAACGGTAAATGACAGTTTAGAGTGTAGTTCTGATGCACTCGTGTGAATTGATTGCGACGCCCTATTTCATTTTGGACCGTAAATCTAATTGTTTTGAACTTTGATCAAGGACAATGTCTTATCTTTTAATTGTGTCCTTCAACGCTAGCGCGCTCCCTCTGGTCAATCAATAAACCATACTGGTTTGGCTTTGCGCTTCTTCGGAGTTAGTGTGTTTTGGTTCCGAAGCATAGAAGATGTCGTGGCGAACTTTCTTGTTACCTGCTTCAGATCACTGACAGCATATCTACCTTTTTCATTCCTCAGCGGTGGAGTATCAGCGTCACTCTTAGTGTCGCGAGATACGAGTCTTTTTAAATCTTGAAAACACTGTTATCTACGGGGATCAGATGAATATGTTGTTGCGGCCTTTGTCCTGCGATTTGGTACTTATCTGGTCTGGGATTCAAGGTAGTTGCTTGTCGATTGTTCGTACTGTCGGGAAAAAGCAACATTAAGTTCCCCCGTTCTCTGCAAGCTTCTCGGGGCCTTTACATCGGTCGTTGCCTTCTCATTGAGCATCATTTTTACTTTATCTGCTGCGGATGTAATAAGTTTTATACGAAAATTTGACAGCTTTCTTTGCCCTAAGTATTTCCAAGGTCAAAAGTACCGATATTTTGAATACTAAACCCAGATACTGCGCAGTAGCGAGCAGGGTCAATCCAACGAAGTGCCGGGGGCTGTTTTCCACTTACCGGTACGAGAAACAGGACGCTCCTTAGGCGAAAGCCTCTATCGTCTGGTACCTGACCTGAACTTTTAGACCCGTTGAAGCCAATTAAGTAGAAATGTCCTCAACAAACTATCCATCGTCGGCTGGAAAAAGCACGAGGATTCTATTTATCAACATGCACTCTGTGTTTAAGAAAGCCAATATGTCCTCCCTTTTCTGTATCCATTCCTGAAACTGCATTTGTCCAGATTTCATTTTACTTAATCCGCAGTCGATACTGTAAATTGCTGAACATCCGTCCTGCTGGGTACAAAAAGTTTACCTTGACTTAATTTGTGTAACATGTTGCACTTTCCTTCCATTCATTGATGCAGTTTCTTTCTAGAGTACGATGAATCTATTCCGATGTTAATATCCATGTATACCACACCTGGACAGTGGATTTTTGTTCACGTTGTACGTGGAAAACAATAGGTACTAATAGCCCAATGGTGTAACAAGAACCAACAGAACGTGACTGCTTATAATTCAGTGAGGAAAGCATCAGCACACATTCGTCAATCCATAAACACCTTGCCTCAATTGGGGACCATTTGTTGAAATTCGAACCTTTGATCCTTGGTGTACAAATTCATCCGATCGGGCTCATACAATATTGACTGTCACGTTACATTGAGCGAGCTGCAGACTTCCGGGTGAAGGATGTTACCTTTTTTATGACTGCAGTGCGACAGCATTGCCGGCTGCGTCAGACGGTGGTCGTCTCTCTTTGTCTTTACGATACATTTGCTTGTCTCCCTTTTCCATTTGTGATAATAACATAATATTGATACTTTCTTGACAATTTATATTATATGTAGATCCCGGGACGATAGAAGCTTGTTTTGACTGTACTTAGCGCACAACGCCCGAATGTTCGTGCATTCTTCATTTTCTTTTACACACCGTTGGATTAGCAGATCCTCGGGGTTTTTTCGGCTGTGTACCGCATCTCTTGTTTTGATTCAGACCACTGTCGAATTGCTTCCAGCTAAATTCGACTCGACTACCTCGTTGCTGGACAATCTCTCTAGTTTTACGATTTTGAAGCTACACGCTGCATTCCACTTGCGACGTCCTGGCCTCGCTATCGTCCTACTGGATGCCGCGTTCTTCCAGTGATCTCTGTTCGTCACGTTTTGTGTGGACCCCCGTATTTGGCTACATAGAAATCATGTACAAACTAAGCAAAGGTCCCTGTTTCACACCGACGTGGTCAACTCTTATGAGGGTTTTTTTGGTTCCGAGGCTCACCACTAAAATGCCTCGAATTCTCTGCGGACAATGAAATATCATTTCGGCTCTTTTTTACTTGTTATCCCGTCTTGTAAGCGTTTTTCATTCTCTCTATACACAGCCTACTTTTTATCCGAAAATGTTTTCCTTGTTATAGACTGAAGCAATGGGCAAGAAGTTGCTGCAACTTTTCAAAGACCTGGTTACAAGTGGTTAAAGACGGCATTTCTCCTACCAATAATGTACAGTTATTTATTTTTGTAAAAGAAACAAGTCATCACAGTTGTCATCCTCTTTGTCATATTCTCAAGTTGGTTGGTATACATCAGCTAGCGCTCCAGTGACAACTAACCGTAAGATGGTGATCATCACCTGTTGCATGTAATGGAATAGGAGAGTTGAGGACGCTACTTCACTAATGTCAAACAACGGTACGGCATGTTTCCGTCATTTCAAACCATCCTCCATTTAAACAGCCTTGATCGCAAGGGCAATGCCCGATCCATGGTCGGACGAACGAGGAGCGGAAGCTGTGTGTGTGTGTGTGTGTGTGGTACAGTTGTTTCCACCTCACTACATACGTTAGTGCCGTGTGAATACAGGGACGATAATCACAAGACGGTAGGCTAATGCAGCCCGCGCGACCGATCCCATACTATAGCTCGATATCTCTTGCTCATATCCTTGATTAACCCCATTCATCTGAACATTCCGATATTTTCCCTTGCATCCTTTCTGCTCGTTTTCGTTCTTTTCTCATTCTTCTCCTTCGCAATTCATTTTACCTTTGTGCGGTACTTGCATCGTGGTAACGCTGGCCAAGTTGGCATAACCCACCAGAGCTGCGCTCTTAATTCGTGTTTAATCATCTGAATCTTGGTCAGTGGTATGCGTTACCTTTATATAACAAAGTTTAATAAGCACATATATAATGAATAAACGGGTGTATTTTCCGACGAGCAGGATGCGTTCCCATTTGTGGGACGATCTTTTGTACAACGAGTTTCATTAGCATTTCATTAAGGAACTTGGGTTCAATGTGTATGAGTTATGTAATGGTTTACGAATTATGTAGGGAGCAACATTATTGGATAGCTGGTTTTGTCATATGTTTTTCTGCCCGGACTCCGTGAGTGCACTCATAGATTGCTGAACACCGAGAAGTTTGACCATAATTGGCACAGAAAGAAATTTTTTAGATATTATCTAAATATAAACAAGCTCTTGCTGATCCCTAATTGCAACGGTAGTTTATCGCACAGAGGGGCGTACTTTACCAATAAGAAATTTAAGCGGATATTTTGCTTTGTCCTCTGTAAGAATAGTAGTTATTTTCCATTACGAGGGGGATAGCTTGAGCCATTTTGTAAAGCGACAGACGTACCGGTTGAGAAGACTCGAGTATGTTATACTGTATCTTTGTAAAGAAAAGTTAGGCTGATTTTCAATCTTCGAAGCCAGAGTATGTCGATCTGGAGGTAAGAACATCGTTCCTCGTAAGTAGGCGTTGATAAGCGTCCCATAATTATTTTGGCAAATGAGCGCTGAACGTTTTCCAAGGCAATTCTGTCTCTTAAAACAGTTACTTCCCTTTAATAACTTGAATAACATAAAGGAGACGAACAATGACAGGTGCGCACATTTCGTAACATCTCATCGGTACCAATAGTAACAGGAAATAATCAAAGGGTGACTGCTGAGTCAGTTATGTATGCAGAAGCGAGAGGGTTTTGAATTCCAGAGTAAAGGATCATCTGCCCAACTGGGTTCAACGTGAGGTCAACCAACCCGCCTCTAGTGCTCCGAGCTCACGTAAGCCACCAGTGTCATCAATAGACAGGCATAATTGGGAGTCCCATCATCGGGTTAACCATGTCGGCATTCCGGATTCTATTGCGTCATTCTAGTTCGCGGTTCTTGCGATTCGCCGAGACCGTGGCGATAAACCGAATGAGACCGGCCCTATGTGTGCAAAAACAAATGGTTGTCAATCTTTGGCTGCCGTGGTCCTAGGACTATAGCCGCAGTTCACCCTAATGCAGTGATTTTGATTAGTCAGTTGACACCCTTTGATTATTATTTGCATTGTTTTCTGTTATCATAATGGTACACATGCGATGATACAAAATGCGCGCATCTACCATTATTCGTCTTCTTTCTGTTATTCAAATTCTCTCTGTTTTGCGTAAATGGCCATTTATGATGGGACCGACTTATCGCCTACCTACCTTCTATTCCTTTTCCCGGACTGAGTCATCGTCATCATCAATACACGTTAGCCGAAGGTGAGCAACACGCCTCAGCTAATGTGTCGCGATGCAAAAGAGTAAGATATCAATCAATGTGAACTTAAAAGCTATAAAAATTAACATACTACTAATATCACATTTTTCATAGTTGTTGGAGTGTAGCTATAGGGAAGGGGAGAGAAAAAGAGACCACACACGCGCCACTAAACTCGATTCTTCGCCATGTTAGCTAGCGTATCCAACCAATGTGTTCGTCGTTCTTCGGACCCCAGCCAGGCAGTCTGGAAACAACAACCGATACCAAATTCGAAGTGAGGGACTTCATTCCTCTCGACCAGACCATCTCTTGGCCTCCTCTTCGTCCATCCACACCCCCGGCGCTCAGACAACGCACGTCGCGTGAGTCGGTGTGCTGGCATGCGCAACACGACCCAGCCTTCGGTGCCTGGTGCGTGATATAATGGTGCGGAGTGTTTCACTCGCTCTTCCTGCACCAAATACGCGACGCCGAACAGGTCATCGCTCACACGGTGCTCCTACCAGACGTGAGCTAAGCTGCGATCGTCGAAAGTAACTACTACCCTCTTTATGTCTGCCAACTTGATGGGCATAGTTTCCCAACCGTACAGGTGGGTTGTACTGCCAGAGGTGCATGAAGATTCTAACTTCGTGTCTAGTGTCAGTTGGATCTGTGCGTCTCCCAAGCTGAGGACCACGTGAAGTGGATTCCCAATGGTTAGAAATCTTGGATGCTATGGCCTGCAGTGGTGTCACTGCTGTTCTACCATCTCTTCATCATGTAATTTCTTAATTTTGAACAAAACATGAAAACCAAAAAGAATTCAAAACAGCGTGTGTGAAACAGAAAAAAACATCCGGTTTTTCCAGCGTTTTTCTATCTCCTCGTTGAACATTATATTCTTCTTTCCCTACCACCATGGTTGGGAAGGTGCGTTTGTCTATTTACAGATATATATATATATATATATATGTGTGTGTGTGTGTGTGTGCGGACTGCTGCATTGTAAACTCTACCCTTCTGAACGGGAGTAATGTCATGCCGGTGCCACAGATGGCAGAGATTAGCAAAAGCGCATCGAGCTTTTACTATACGGTTCGTGACCTCATCTTCTGTCCCGCTGGCGCTGATATAGCTGCCAAGATATTTGAATTTCTCGACGACTTCTAAGTTATCATCGCCAAGCGTCAGTGCAGGAGTGAGTCTCTGCCAATCATGGAGAACTTTTTCTTTCTAGGTTGCAAAGCATAGCCCGAAACGCCTGACAACCAGAGTCAATTTTTCCACTGCAGCTTGTCACATTCGGTGGCTGTCACAGTTGAGCGCAATGTTTTTGGCATACTCCAAGTCGAGAAATCGTTCACCGGGGAGCGGCTCCCACACCTTCCAACTCGTGCCCGGCAAATACCGTTTTCATGACTTCGTCAGTGACGAAGTTAAAGTGAAACGTGTCTGTTGGCAAATTTATTTCACACCGCTGGAGATATTGAGGGGCAGCGACAGTTTGCCGTAAACCTTCACTCTGCCAGAGCTACGAGCGTATAGCGTTCGAATACTGCTTACATATCGGGCACACCTTTCCTGAGCAGACGTCCCAAAAGGCACATCGATCAACCGAATCGAAGGCCACTTTGATGTCTAGGAACACGTGACTACGGTGGGTCGCTAATAAACATGGCGGTGCTCCAACAACTGATGTAATGTGAAGACGTGGTCAATGCAACCTCGATTTCGACGGAACCCAGCTTGCTCCTCGCACATCTAGCTTTCACGAGTGCCATTCAGTCTATGGAGGACGACAGACGCAAGCAATTTAGTTGCATTGGAGATAATACTGATTTCTCTATGACTGCCGCATTCGAGACGGGCGCATCCCTTGAAAATTGGAACTATTACGGAGCGGCTCCGGTCTATCGGGACAGTCTCCTGCTCCCATAGATTCACATCTTAATTACCTACACCCTTCATAAGAGCAAGCTCCCCAATTTCGTAGGGGGCTGGATGCAGTCCCTCTGCTCCAGCGGCCTTGTTCAATTTCAGCCGTCTGTTCTCACGTTCGATTTCTGCGCTCGATGTCCCATCCAAGAAAACGGCCCATGAAGTAAGGCGGTCATTGGCCGATGGAAAAACTGACTACTCTGACCGATTAGACTGCTCAAAGCGTTCGACCCAACGTTTCAAGTGCTTTGACATGCTGTTGATCGGCTGTCCACTTTCATCGGGTATCGTCTCGCTAACACCAGGTTTTCTGCTGCCCGTTTCACATATCAAACGTAATAACTTCCGATGGTTACCAAGGACAGCGGATGTTTCCATTTCCGAGGCACGATGAGACCTTCACGTTTGGCGGTCTCTCTTCAGACTAGCACGCAGCTTCGCTCTGAGGTTGGCGAATCTCATCGTATTCGCTTCCAACCGGAATACCTCAGCGAGCATTGGTACGTTCCAGAGACTGCACAGATACCCAATGTCCAGATTGGTAGTTTGATTTGCTACATGAAAACATACCTGCTACTAATAACGTCTGACAGATATGCGACCAATGGTCTTCAACTGTGTTTACTAAGCACTGATGCCAGCGTACTTTGATACCCATTCAAAACATCTGGCTACGCCTACTGGCGAATATCCATGCGTTCACAGGGACGTTGCGGACGTCCACCTAAACGCACCCGGAGGTCGACGCAAACAGGTGCGTAGTCACCGGCCACGCTCGTGCTCCAAATCGAGCGACGGTTTTGAACGCATCCTCTAGCGATTACTGATCTCAATGTGATCGATTTGTGTCCATCGCTGGTCCGAGGCTGGTGGGCGCCATGTCGCCCTTTGGAGGGTCCTATGTCGGAAGTTGGTGCCTGCAAGAAAGAGACGAGCATGTTCACACAGGTGTAGCAACTGCTCACCCTTATCATTACGGGTGCCTACACCGTGTTGGCCGCCCAGATGAAG